TCTATTTATCTATCTATCTATCTATCTATCTATCATCCAGATCCCTCTCTCTCCTACACATGCTCATGCGACGAATTTGAATCTACACATGCTCACGCGTCCGTCGCCGACTTCACGAATGACAAGTACCGGTAGTCCGCCCCAACAGATAGAGAGCAAACGACGACGTCTGTCAGAACATACCCTCCCTCAAAATGTCGATATCCCCATGCAGGTCTTGCCTCTGCTCGAAAGGCGCATGAAGGACCACCGTGTACGTGGCCGGGTGGTGCATGCGGTCACGGAACTCCATGGCGAAATTAGAGATTAGCATGCGCACCATCTCCGCCAACACGTCCACTCCGCCAACGAACCTGGTCGGCACAGCCGTTCCGACCCTCGTGATGTGCATGATGACTTCGCGAAGCGCCCGTCGACCGAATCTGAACCCTACGACCACCGCAAGACATGTCACTGCATTGGCGTTCGCTTCGTAATACCGGAAGTCCTCATGGTTGACATGATGATCGAATTCCATTGCCCTTCCGTGCGAGTTGCCTCTCCTGTGTCGATACTCGTAGAAGACGACAGTGCGGTTAAGCACCACGTCGCGATAACAAATGACGATGTCCATTGTCGCCGCTTGAGATGGTTGTCGATCGAAGGGCGATCTGGAATGTTCCTTGACGACCCGTTTGCAGACACCGCACTCCCGTTCAACCCCCCCCCCCCCTTCTGACACGTGGATAGCCTTCAACGGCCACGCCACAACACTGCCGACGATCACCACCGCGCACCACAGTGATAACCACCATGTATGCCGCTGTTATATAGGCCAGCGGAAGGTTGCACGGGTGTGGGAGTGGGGAGGTGCAAATTGGACAGTAGGAGACCGTCGCAATTTCGTCATTGTTCGTCGTCGACCACTCGTGATTCAACGGCTCCATACGGAGGTGCCCCTTGGAACACAAAAACGAAAAAATGCATTCCATGGCAAGGAAAAAAAATAAAAAAAGTACGGAAAATAATTTACAACATGTAAGATCTCAGTCATTCGTATTACATAAGACCCCCAACGCAGCGATCGGGAATGCAAGACGGTACCGTCGAACAACCTCCGCGACGCACGGCC